GGAAAAAAAAAAAAAAGAATCAGTAAAAATAATCAAAAGTTATGTTTTTTTAGCATGAATGATATGGGTTATATTTGATGTTATCATTAATACAAATAGTTTTTACTCTATAAATTAAAATAGTATTAATAAGATTATATAATAAATGAAAATATAATTTAAATGTTTATATTAATACTTTAAAGATATGTTTTTTTATAAAAATATAACATAAATAAAAATATTATTAACTAAAATAATTGATTTAATAATTATTAAAACTATGATAACTAAATGATAATATGCAATATAATTAATTATTTAATAGTATGTTAATTGTTCTAACATTGGTATGTAAATTATATGTCGTAAATATATTTATATTTATTTAATTGTATTTAGTTAAATATATTATTAAGATAGATAAATTAAAATAGTTAGATTAATTTTCAAAAAAAAATAATTAATATTTCAAAAAATGTAATTTGATGTGCAGGTAATTACTACATATATGAAAGATAATTCAAAAGTACGGATGTTTGGAACGATTGAGTCTTTAGATGAATAACTATTATTCATATTATTATATTAATTTTATTTTAATATATTTAAAAATTATTTTATAAAATAATAATATACATTATCATATAGATACAAAATAATTTTAAAAATAAAGAATTGACATGTGTCAATTCCTAGTTTTATATATATATATATATATAGATTATGTTTTAGTTGTATCTTTCACAAAGTATGATAATTAATCAGTAAATTTTTTTAATTTTGTTTTAGTAGAATGTTTAGTTAGCTATTTAGTATAAATTTTAGTTTTAGTAGAATGTTTAGTTAGCTATTTAGTATAAATTTTAACTTTAGCATAAGAGAATTTCTTTTAATTAGACTAAATTATATAATTGTTAATTATGGCAGGTTAAATCTCAATAGACTTAATCGTACAATAATATTGCCATATAAAATTGGAATTATTATTTTATTTTATTTTATTTTTATTCTATTTTTTTCTCTATAAAATATGATACTTTGACTCTTAAATATGACCACTATAAGAGCTCGATTTCTACCGTCTTTATTTCGTTCATTTTCTTAAAATTTCTATATTTATTACTTATTATGTACTTTGAATATATTTACCTAGCACATTTATTTTATTGTATATTTTCAAAATGCCTATTTGTAACTTAGAATTATTATTCTTTATTTTTGTAATTTATTTTACTATTTGGATTATGGCTTCTTAATTGAAAAGATGGTGTAACACCCATTAATTTTGTCATTTATTATTATTATTTTTAATTAATTTTTGAATTTATTTTATTCACTTTTATTCATTTTTTTGAATTTTAATTGATTTATTTAATTTAATTTAATTTAATTTAATAAGAATAAAAATAATAATAATGATAAAATTGAGTAAAAATATTATTTGAATTTAATTGAAATTGATTTTGAAAAAAATGGGTGAAAATTAGGATTCTGGGGGTATTTTTGAAAAGAAAATCGAAAATAGGGGGTCAAAACATAATTTAGAAAAATTGTGCCCCGTCAGCGTCACATCAGCACCCATGTCAGCGACCCAGTCAGCAGCCCTGGCCAACCAGGACCTGCCGCGTGGCAAGACCACGTCGACCCGGGAACGGACCACGTGGGCGATCTGCGTGCGCGCGATCGGACGGCCCAGATACGCCCCGCGCGCACGGACGGCCTAGATGCACGCGCACGGACGGCCCAGATTCAATCGCGCACGGACGGCCCAGATTTAATCAAAATGGACGGCTGTGATCAAAAAGCAAAAGGGTATAAATAGAACCCCCACACCTGACCACAAAAACCCTAGCCGCCTGCCCTCGCCGGAGAAGACGAACCAAACGCCGGAGGAGCCGGCCGCCGCCACCCGCCGCCGCATCGGGGAGTTTTTCGACCGCCGATCGAGGTAAGTTTCATACCCCCGCCGATCGAGGTAAAACACGGCCGAAACCCAGCGGCGCCGCCGCGCCCCTCCTCTATTTTTGCCTCCGATGAGGCCCTTCCCGGCCTCCGTTTGATACAATTTTTATATCACCGTGATCACCATTCTTTTCTCTACAGGTTGATCGGAGCCAAATCACTAAAACACGAACCTCGCCGGAGAGCCGCCGCACCCGAGAGCACCGCCGCCGGTAAGCTTCGGTTTTTCGTAATTTTTTGGCCCCCCGAGGGCCATAGGGTTGTTTTATCACAGGGATCGATGCAAGTGTGGCCGAAAACGGCCAACCTGAGGCGAATCGCCGCCGCAAGCGGCGGCGCCGTCGCCGGAGCACGGCGGAGCTGCCGTGCCGGAATTGCGATATTGGCCGAAAGGGGCCCTGGGTCTAATTTGGGATTTTTTGGGACAGGTGCAGGTACCAGTAGTGCGTTTCAGTTCCCCGGAAAAAATTCAGGAAAAGTTAGGGACAGCCTGTAGGCGCACTGTAGAGCCGTATTCGGACCCCGAAACAAGTAAAGACCCCTCACCCTATTTCCTATCACGGTATTAAAGTTCAATAAATGATAAAACAGTGTTTCATGAATCAGTAGATGTGTAAAATTATTTAAGGTCGCTAATGGAGCCCGAGTCTGGTGTATTTGTCGGTCAGTTGTTGTTTGTTCTATTTTACAGTTTTAAATGCAGTATGATGCCTGATGTTCTCATTTCATAGTTTCGTGTGCATAAATCACTGTTTTATTGATTATGGGTTGAATGATTGAGAACCCGATGTTGTATGTTGGCTTGTTTGGCATGAATTACTGGTTGCTTGTTTGTGTGTGATTTGATGATGCTGACTGAGGAAAAGGGGAATGAAAGGTTATGTAAATTGATAATTGTATAATGTGGTCAGCCTGACTAGATATCCTGGGAGATGGTGGACGGACCGGGTCCGTAGGGAACCCTACCGGGATTGTGTTCTCTCATACCGGACGAGGTATGGAGACCTTATGTGTTTTGGCGCCCATACCGGACGGGGTATGGGAACGGCCCGTTTCACCCTCATACCGGACGGGGTATTGAGGTTTATAGTTTTGGCGTCCATACCGGACGGGGTATGGGGACGGCCCTGGAATCTGATTACAAGTGTTAAAGGTTCACGGGTAGCGGGACCCCTATGGATCCCCATGGATACTAGTAGGCTGGTAAATAAGGAAAAATATGTTGTGTCATGATTGAGATGCAAAAGGCGTGATAAGTATTATGTTATACAGTTCCTATGATTTCATGATGATGATAATGTTATTGCTTTCGTATATTGTTTTATGAATTTCACCGAGGTAAGTGGATAGCGAGGATTTTATTATTGATAAAAGAATTTGTTGTAAACTATGCTCCATTGGTCTTTTGTGTTTTCTACCCACCTTTCCTCCGTGACGGTGAGATAGTGTGATGTCTTTACTGGGCTGGTGTAGCTCATTCCTTATTTAATAATTTCATATCAGGAAGACATTGTTCCCGAGCCCGTTCTGCAGGAAGACGGCGAAGGGGACGCCTGAAGACTCCGTAGTCATATTTATAGCTTTTATTTTCAAGTTTCTCTTTTAGTTAGTTTGTTCTTTTATACTTTGAGCACGTTTTTTGTTTTAGTGTAAGGAATGTTTAATCAAAATTTTTATTACGCTTCCGCATTTAACCTTTTTAATACACATATTTCATTTTAAAATTCCGGGGCCGTTACAGATGGACCCTTCGATCATTTATTTTTATGTACTTTATTTTTTTCAAACTCTTGATAATGTAATTATGATTCATAAGTATCTTATAAAATTTGTATGAATTGGAAAGATAGACATGGTAAAATTAAAATAGTAGGGTAAGACGCTAACTTTAAGTTCAGTAAAACATTTTCCATAAACGTACATAGTTTGGAAAGGCTCGGAACTTTAAAGAACATGAATTTGTATTTTAAATGCGGAAGCAAATAATATTATATTCCTTACACAGTAAATTGAAACGCCTAATAGGGATATGAGAATGTCTCTTCTACAACGGTTCTTAAATAGAAATGAATAAATGATTTAAAACAAATAAATAAATATTTTAGGGGTTAAACTCTATTAGCAGTTGATAGGATCTGGGAGGTTAATCTACTCACAACGTTTCTGCTTATCAGAATCTGGATCTTAGTTTTCTTAATCTAAAATAGTTAATAGAAAAGTGAGCTATACTAACCTATTAAGAATATCGCGCTAATAACTGAAACAGAAAATCGAATGTTTGTAAAACTCATAAAACAACTAATGGAGCTCTTAATTTAAGTAAATTCATTTAACATAAAGAGAATCTTTTATTCTATACTTAATGTTGCGAGTTTTTCAAAAACAATATATGAAGACAATAAATTCGAATATCATTCTTATGATATATTTACATGAACAATAACAGTAAACTTAACTCATTTCTTGCTTACCGGTACCTCTGGGTATTCATAGGGATATTCTCCTACTCGTGAACCTAATATATAAATTTTGTCAATTAATCCGTCCGTCCCCATACTTCGTCCAGTAATGGGTGCCAAACACACCATCGCCTCAATACTTCGTCCGGTATGAGGATGAATCATATATCCCAAATTCTTCCGATATGAGACATCTCAGTCCCATCCAACTAAGATAATGTCCACAGTAGGGTTCTTTATGTATCGGATTCGTCCACTATTTTCTAGGGTGCCCAGTAAGCCTTTCATATATAGATCCCTATCAACAAAACAACCACCAATCGCATACCAGCATTTTATTTTATATTCACAGATCAATCAAATGACATTTAAGCAAACAGTACAATTTCACACTTCAACAA